ATGCCAAATAAAACAGCTAAATATCCTTGTAGAAGAGGCTGAGAGGGTCAAGAAGGGAAGCTTACTGAGAGCGGGAGAGAGAGAGAGAGACACGAAGCTGGAGGGACAAAGTCATGCACAGTGAGAGACGGGAGGGGCTCTACTTACAGACTTTATAATAGATACCCAAGAGACAGAAGAAGGAAAAAAGACTCAACAAATTCTGGAGACTTGGAGCCAGAGATACCAGACAGAGCCAGAAAAACAGGTGAAAGCCAGGTTTTGTGCTCATACAAGGAGATCAGAGACAGAGCTGCAGAGAAAGCCACAGGACAGAGAAAAAAATCCATGCATTCAGTAAATACAGGGCCAGGCCCTAGGCTGGGGGCTGGGATATTTCACTGGGGGGTCGGGGGAGGAAGGTGGTTATTTGAGCAAGACGGACCAATTCCCTGCCCATCTGGAACTTCAGACTGAGCAGGAAGATGGACGTTGTATGAACAAACCCACTTGTAACTCCCTCCAACTATCATGCTACGGCAGGGCAAGGGAGAAATGCAAGAGAGCTAAGAAACACGCCCAGGCCTTAACTGGTTTGGCTCAGTGGCTAGAGCGTCAGCCTGCGGACTGAAGGGTCCCAGGTTCGATTCCGGTCAAGGGCACATGCCTGGGTTGCGGGCTTGATCCCCAGTAGGGGGCGTGCAGGAGGCAGCCAATCAATGGTTCTCTCTCATCATTGATATTTCTATCTCTCTTTCCTCCCTGAAATCAATAAAGACATATTTTAAAAAGAGAGAGAGAGAAAGAAACATGACCAGATGGCAAAGAGTATCTCAATTGGCCCCAATTTTAAACTGGGAACGTTCCCCATAGAAGCTTAGTTTCTGGCTCCGCGTGAAGCACAGGAATTGGCGGAGCCCAGGTTCCCGCGTGGCAGACGGCCACCCCAGTTAGACCGGCATCAGCACTCAGGTTTGCCCCTGGCCCCCCCACTCCCTGCTGCTCATGCTTGGCACTGCCGCTTCCTTGCTTTGCCTTCCTGGCCCCCGTAGGTGCATGGGTTTGAGACCCCAACCGGAGCCATGGACAAGAGTAGAGTCCCTAGAACACAGACTCCGGCTGCTTGAGCTAGGTGCCCCAGGATGGGGTCTCTATGCAGATGGAGCCCCGGGCGGGATACACCCCCATTCATCTCCAGAAATAAGCCTTCACCCCATCTTTGGCCTCCTCCCACTTCCTGGGTGGGTGTCTTGGGCAACAGACCTCACATGCCCAGGCCTCGGTTTCCTCATCTGTGAAATGGGGCTATCACAGTACCTACCACGTGGGGCTGTTGGGAGGTTCCCGTGACACCATGCGCGGGAACTCGGGGCGGCCGGGTAAACCATAGCTGTTACGGGAGGCGTGGAGAGCGCAGACTTCTGGGTGCAGACCGTGGCTCTGCTGCTGATTAGCCGATGGCACTGAGGCTGCGACTCACCTTTTCTGGGCCTCAGTTTCCTCCCTCGGAAAGTGGGAGACGTGACTTGCCCAAAGCCGGGCACCCCGCGTATGCTTACGGCCCTCTACTGTGCTTGAAACCATTCTTACTTTTTTTAAAAAATATATTTTATTGATTGTTTACAGAGAGGAAGGGAGAGGGATAGAGTTAGAAACATCGATGAGAGAGAAACACTGATCAGCTGCCTCCTGCACACCCCCTATTAAGGATGTGCCCGCAACCAAGGTACATGCCCCTGACGGGCATCGAACCTGAGACCCTTCAGTCCGCAGGCCGACGCTCTATCCGCTGAGCCACACCAGTTAGGGCCCATTCTTACTTTTTAAAAATAATGATGAGAAGGAGAGAGAGGGAAGAAGAGGGCAGCGGGTGATGTGCCGCCGGCGGCGTGTCCTTCCTCCGCAGGCACCACGAGGCGGGCTGCCCGGCCTTCATCATCGTCAAGCTGAGCCCCCTGCGGGACCGCCTGGTGGTGACGGAGTGCCAGCTGACCCACTCGCACCCGGCCTGCCCCATCGAGTTCGCCTACTACTTCCGCCCCGGCCGCCTGCTGGCCAACACCTGCCTGCCCGTGCGCACCACCAACAAGATCTCCAAGCAGTTTCTGGTCCTGGCCGACGTGCACCGCCTGCTCTCCTACTGCAAGGACCGCGACCACAGCGTCATCGACGCCCTGCGCGTGCTCCAGGGGCTCTTCCACAAGGACCCTGAGGCCAAGGTGGGGTCTCGGGAGAGGCAGGAGGGGGGGGGGGGGAATCATTCATTCACCCTCCCACTCATTCGTTCACTCCTTCATTCATTCATTCATTCCTTTGCCCATTCATTCAATAACTACTTCTGGGGGCATCGGGGGTGCAGCAGCAGAGAAGACGCACGTGGTCCCTGCCCTCAGAGGCGCCCTCTAGTGCAGCGCCAACACCACCCAGTCCAACTTCCTGCCGTGATGGAAACAGCCTGTGACCCTGCGCTGCCCGGCAGGGAAGCCCCGGCCATGTTAGCTATGGAGCACTTGAACGTGGCCAGTGGGACCGAGGACCTGGGATTTAGATTTTATTTCATTACAACTACCTGCAAGTCAGATAGCGACTGATGGCTGCTGGCCATCACTCGCAGAAGTGACTGCTAGCACCAGCTCGCAGTCACAAGGGGAGAAACCAACACTAGACACACGCATCCAAATATGATACCAGGTCAGTAGGGTTGGGCGCTAGGAAGAGGAGGATTCAAGGTGATGGGAGGCACTATTTTAAAAATAGTGGATGGGCCCTGGCTGGTCTGGCTCAGTGGATAGAGCGTCAGCTTACGGACTGAAGGGTCCCGGGTTCGATTCCGGTCAAGGGCACATGCCTGGGTTGCGGGGCCTGGGTTGCGGGCTTGATCCCCATGAGGGAACTTGCGGGAGGCAGCCAATCCATGATTCTCTCTCATCATTGATGTTTCTATCTCTGTCTCCCGTTCCCTTCCTCTCTGAAATCAATAAAGGTATATATTTTTTTTAATTAATTAAAAATAAATAAATAAAATAGTGGGTGGAAAATGTTGAGTGGAGTGGCCTCTGGTGTCCACTCTTGTGGAACCCCCCTTCTGTGAAGGATTCCCTCCCCCCCCCCCCAGTGCCCCTGATCTGTGTGTCTGAGATGACACCCACACCCACATTTATAAAACTGAACGACACGTATAGGAAATGCATGAACGATAAATACACCGTGTGCTGCGTGTTCACAAAGTGAAAACACCCCTGTACCCAGCATCCAGATCAAGCATTAGATGGGAAGGGTGCTGAGTTTTATTTGTATTTTATTTTAAATATGTTTTTATTGATTTCAGAGAGGAAGGGAGAGGGAGAGAGAGAGAGAAACATCCATGATGAGAGAGAATCATGGATCGGCTGTCACCTGCACACCCCCCACTGGGGATGGAGCCCGCAACCCAGGCATGTGCCCTTGACCGGAATCGAACCCAGGACCCTTCAGTCCCCAGGCCGACGCTCTATCCACTGAGCCACACCGGCCAGGGCGGGTGCTGAGTTTTATCACGAGGGAATCGAGTTCCAGGCAGAGGGACCGGCCAAGGCACAGGGTCAGAGGCAGGAGCAAGCTCTTGTGCTGGAGGGACAGCGAGAATGCTGGGCCCCCGAGGAATCTCTCCACTGCTTTGACCCAACTTCAGGGCTGGGGTGGGCATGACGGGAAGCCAGGAAGGGAGGAGGGAAGGAAAGAAAACTGGTCTGTGCCCCTGGCTGTGCTTTTCTCTTGTGCACGGAGGAAAGAGAGGCCTGAGCCTGCAGGGCAGATGGGAGCGCTGTGGCCCGGTTCTGTAGGTATCACAGAACCATAAGAACACCCTGGCGGTGGCACTGGTACAGGAAGATGGGGACCCATCCCACATACGTACCATATCTGTCAGGAAGGGCTGCTATGGCTTCTATTCGCGCTCTGTGGGCCAGAGCAAGTCACATGACCTGCCTAAGTGCAGGAGGGCAGAGAGGCTCCGGCCTGCCAAGCAGGTGGACAGCCACAGGCTTGTCGAGGGCCTGATCACAGGAAATGTTCTTTGTGTGTGTAGCCTCTTTATTTTTTAAATACATTTTTATTGATTTCAGAGAAGAAGGGAGAAGGAGAGATAGAAACATCAATGAGGAGAGAGAATCATGGATCGGCTGCCTCCTGCACGCCCCCTACTGGGGATCGAGCCCTCAACCCGGGCATGGAGCCCACAACCCCGGCATGTGCCCTTGACCAGAATTGAACCCAGGACCCTTCAATCTGCAGGGCGACGCTCTCTCCACTGAGCCAAACCGGCTAGGGCTACATCTAGCCTCTTTTTACATCATACCAGCCAACACCAGACTGAAACTTCTGCTGACATAAATTAAATCATAAAGTAATAGCATAAAAACGGATGGCGGTTGCAAATACAGTGGTGTTGTAACTAATTCAGTGGTGAGCTTACTTGGCTTTTTCATAAAATGTACTGCCTTCCAATGCTATTTAAGATGCTGAATGTATGATTTCAGGGTTAGGATAGCAATTGCCTTGTTCTCTTTGGATTCTGCTAGGCTTTTTTTTTTTCCTTGAGGTTGTTTTTTCCCTCAAAAGCTGAGAGCTATGCGGTGCTTTTTAACGATCTTGTAGAAGGAGATCAGGTCATGGCAGAGTCTGTGGAGAGATCGGTGTCTAGATTTTACCTCTAGTGTGATGATGCCCTGGCCGGTTTTGCTCAGTGGATAGAGAGAGCATCGGCCTGCTACCCAAGGGTCCCGGGTTCGATTCCAGGCAAGGGCACGTACCTTGGTTGCTGGCCCCTCCCTGGCTCGAGCAAGCCCTGGTCGGGACTCATGCAGGGGCAACCAATCAGTGTGCTTCTCTCACATCGATATTTCTCTCTGTCTTTCCCTCTCTCTTCCACTCTCTCTAAAAATCAATGGAAAAATATCCTCGGGTGAGGATTAAAAAAAATAGTGTGATGCCAGGTCCTGAGCAGGGGAAGCGTGATCTGATAGGAGTTTTGTTTTGTTTTGTTTTTTTAATATATTTTATTGATTTTTTACAGAGAGGAAGGGAGAGGGATAGAGAGCTAGAAACATCGATGAGAGAGAAACATCAGCTGCCTCCTGCACACCCCCTACTGGGGATGTGCCCGCAACCGAGGTACATGCCCTTGACTGGAATTGAACCTGGGACCCTTGAGTCCGCAGGCCGACGCTCTATCCACTGAGCCAAACCGGTCAGTGCTGATAGGAGTTTTGAAAATGCCCCTCAGGTACCCATTTGGGGAACAGAGGGGTATTTGGATGGAGACAGACAGCCCAGTGAGGGGGCAACTATAGAACCCAGGTGAGAGATGGTGGTCGCCATGGGGGTCAGGAAAGGGGTCAGATTCTGGACTCATTCTGAAGGTCTCTTCTAAGACTTAGGGATGGATTGCACACAGAGGGTGGAGAAAGAGGGAAACAGAGAATCAGCCCTGACCGTCTGGGCCTGAGCTATGGAGTGGACGGCGGAGCCCTCGATGGACATGGGGCTGACCAGGGAGGGGCAGGTTGGGAGAGTGAGAGGTAACTTGAGGGCTTTGGGCCACTAGTCTCAAAGGTCATGCAAGCTGTCCTCGCGGCCATGTTGGTGCAGAGGCCGTTAAGTAGGTTGGTCTGGAGCCTGGAGATCCAGAACGGGAGCGGTCAGCTTCGAGGTGATGACCGCTGTGACTGGGTGAGAGCCCCTTGCAGAGCCTGGAGAAGGGAGAGAGGAGAGGGCCAGGGCTCTGCAGCACTTAGACGTGGAGCAGGGGAAGAGCCGGCAGAGGAGATACAGTGGGGCCTTGTCTTACGAGTTTAATTCGTTCCGAGACCGAGCTCGTTAACTCAAATTACTCTATCAACTCAATGCAAAAAATCACCGAGAGACAGCTGGTATCTCAAAAAACTGGTTAGTTGGGACACTCGTAAGTCAAGGCCCCACTGTACCTGGGGGGAAGGAGGAACGCCAGGCCTCTTCAGGGTGACGGAAGCCAAGAGCCACCTGTGTTCCAGGAAGGAGGCAGGGTCACCATCTGAAGGCTGCTGAGAGCTTGAGGAAGGCGGTAGTAATAGCTGGGATTTGATTCCTGCCAGCCTTCCAAGCTTTGGACACAGATGATCTCATTTTATCCGCACCAGGACCCTGTTCAATAGGCTTTATTATCTCCATTTTGCAGACAAGGAAACTGAGGCTAAAATGCAAGGGAAGTCACTTGTCCAAGGACTCAGAGCTACTAAGAGGCAAAGCCAGGATTCAAACACTGTGTACCCTGACCTCCACTCCAGAGACATGGGCCCTGACGTCACTGCACCCCCACACACTGGTGTACGCACACATGCAGGATGTATTGAGCCCTCGCTCTGGGCCAGGTGTCTGAAATGCACCAAATCCTTGTGGGGCTCACATCTTAGGCAGGGCAAACGGGCAGTAAGCAAATCAGCCAATAAAGAGGTGACATGCTTCAGGGGGGTAAGTGCCATGGCCAGGAGGGGTGAGAGAGAGCCAGAGTGTTTGCTCAGCAGGACAGTTAGAGAAGACCATTCCGGGGACGTGGTCTTTACTATATAATCTCTATCTATAAAAGCCTACGTGACAATCTGACCAGTAGCTATGACATTCAATGACCACCAGGCGGCAGATGCTCAGTGCAGGAACTACCGAGATGCGGTGACTTGGCAGCTGCGGTTCTCGGGTAACACACCCGGAACCAGAGAGGAGGGAGCCCGATTCCAGGGTGCATCACCTGAGAAACGCCCTCTCGCAATCCAGGACCCCTCGGGGGATATTGGAGAACCGATTTCGGCCCTATACCCGCAGGACAGACCGAGGGACTCCACTGGTGCACGAATCAGTGCACCGGGCCTCTAGTTACTATATAATTATAGTGATAAGGAACGCTTTGAGAACACTTACTTTTTGAGTGGGTATTGTTGAATAACAGTAATATTATTTGTACCAGGCAGCATGCTAAATGCTTTCATTGATTTCAGCCTTCCCATCACAGAGATGCCCTCATCATCACCATTTCACAATGAGATGGAGGTCAGGGCAGTTGCCGGAAGCCACACAGCCCGGAGGTTAGGTCTCCAGCATCTCAGCTCGGGCAGCAGGCTCCAGAGGCGCTGCCGGATCGGCCTCTCCGTGCACGAGGGAATGAATGTTCGGTTCCCAGAAAGGGAAACTGGGGGAAAGGCGGTTAAGGAGGAAACTGAGGCACAGGTTCCGTGACAAGGTTGGAAAGTGGTGAGGCCCAGACTCAAACCTCTGCAGTCTGGCTCCATGGTCTAGGGCAGTGGTTCTCAACCTTCCTAATGCCACGACCCTCTAATACAGTTCCTCATGTTGTGGTGACCCCCAACCATAAAATTATTTTCGTTGCTACTTCATAACTGTAATTTTGCTACTGTTATGAATCGTCATGTAAATATCTGACATGCAGGATGTATTTTCATTGTTCGCGACCCACAGGTTGAGACTGTGGGCTTTACCAGACCAGTGGCTCTCAGGCTTGGGCCAGCGTGGGAATCTCCTACCGGGCTTGCCACTGTCGGTTGCTAGGCCCCGCCCCCAGAGTTTCTGACTTAGCAGGTGGGGGCGGGCTTGAGAATATGCATTTCTGCCCGGACCCTGACAGGTGACGCTGGTGCTGCTGGTCCAGGGCCCACACCTAGAGAACCGCTGCCTTAGGCCGCCTCTCGGCGCATGAAGGGATGACTGGCTTGTTTTCCGCAGGGGAGACGGAAACTCGGAGAGGCTGTCTAGTGTGCAAAAGTCGCGCAGCTGTCAGATGGTGGCGCCGGGATCGCAAACCCAGGCGCTTGGCCTCCAGGGCCCACATTCTTAGCCATTGCCCTGCACTGCCTCCTGTCGGTCAAAATAAGAACTGCATGCCCACACGGAGGAATGGATTTCCCAATCCCCCAGCCAGGGAAGCTGCGGTCGGGGAGCTGGGCGTGGCAACCCCGGCCGACCCTGACCTCCTTCCCCGCCTCCCCGCCCCGGCCCTCAGGTGAAGCTGGTGTTCATGGAGAACCAGGCGGTGGTGGAGACAGTGTTCTTCCTGACGTCGCGCACGCGGGCGCTGCTGCGGCGCTTCCCGCGCCTGCTCCTGGTGGACCGGCTGCCGGGACTGCAGGGCGCCCTGGACCTGCTGGCGGTGCTGTGCGTGGACGGCGCGGGGCGCGCACGCCAGGCCGCCTGCTGCGTGGCGCGCCCGGGCACGCCGAGCCTGCTGCGCTTCGCGCTGGCCTCGCTGCTGCAGAGCGCGCCGGACGTGAAGGGCCGCGTGCGCTGCCTGACGGCGGGTCCCGAGGTGACCGCGCAGCTGCCAGCCGTGCGCCAGCTGCTGCGGGCGCGCGCGTGCAGATCTGCCGCGCGCAGGGCCTGGAGACGCTGTTCAGCAAAGCGCAGGAGCTGGGCGGCGCCGCCGCGAGGACCCCGGCCTGTGGCCCCGCCTGTGCCGCTGGTGGGCGCCCCGTCGCCGGGCCGCCTACGCCGAAGCCCTGGTGGAGCTGCGCGCCCACGGCCCCGCCGCCTTCGTCGACTATTTCGAGCGCAACTGGGCGTCCCGCCGCGACATGTGGGTGCGCTTCCGCGCCTTCGAGGCGGCCCGCGATCTGGACGCGTGTGCCCTGGTGCGCGGCCACCGCCGGCGCCTGCTGCGGCGCCTCAGCCCCTCGCGCAGCATGGCGCAGTGCCTTCGCGACCTGGTGGCCATGCAGTGGGCCGACGCGTCCGGAGAGGTGGCGCTCGACGGCGGGGGGCCTTGGCTGGAGGGCGAGCGGTGGAGGGGAGCGCAGGTCGAGAATGAGAGGGCCAAGGGCCGGGAGAACGGAGACTGGGGAGGGGCGCCCCCTGAAGGAAGTCTTTGGAGAGGCCCCCCGTTAGAGGAGTGGGCCAGAGAACTGGAGACCAGAGACCGGCGCGGGGCTCAGTCCGAAAGTGAGAAGGAGCGAGGCATGCAAGTCCGGTACTGGAGAGGGGTGCAGCTGGAGAACCAGAAGGTGAGGGGACTCGAAGGGAGCGTCTGGAGAAGGTCCCAGCTGGAGAGCGAGCACCGAGGCTGGAGGGGGGCCCAGCTGGAGGGTGAGAATGATTGGGGGCTGGAAGGGTATGTCTGGAGGGGGGCCCCCGCGGAGGACCAGGGGCTGAGGAGCTTGGAAGGGTACGCCTGGAGGATGGCGCAGTTGGAGGACCGAAGGATTCGACTTCTGCAGACCGCGGACGGGAGGAGCCAGTTCGATTGCGCGAGGGCCAGGGGCCTGGAAGGAGGCAGCAGCCGCAGGGGCGCGCAGGCGCCGGATGCAAAGGTCTCTGGACTGAAACCCAGAGACCAGAAGGGGCTCCGGGTGGAAGCGGAGAAGGGAGGGAGGGTGGAGGTCAGGAACTGGAGGGGGGTCCATTTGGAGAAGCCGCTGGAGCCGGTCCCTGAGAACAGAGACCAGAGGGCGCCCCATTGGGGACAGGAGAGGAGAGGGCCGGAAGTTAGAGAAGAGAGAGGCGTGAGGTCGGGGGTCAAAAGGAGAAGGGACCTGGAGGACGTGGTTCTGGTCCAGCTAGGGGACACGAGGGTGACGGGCCTGGAGGATGCAGAGGGAGGGGGGGCTCGTTCTGGGGGTCCCCAGAACCGGGGAGGGCTAGGAAGGGAGTGTCTGGACGCAGGAGGGAGGTGTCTAGGGCTGGGGAATGGAGTCGCGTGCAGCACCCCCACGGGAACTGTGTTTGAGGGTGATCCTGAATGGCCAGGGGACAGACTCCAGGAAGGAAGTGAAGGAGAAGGCCCCAGGGAACCAAAGAGACCTCGCTGCCCTTCCGGAGAGAAGGAGGCGGACTGGGAGCCGCTGGCCAAGTTCCGAGCGGCCTGTGGGCCGGAGCTGGCGGACCTGGTGGCGGAGGAGCTGTCCTTCGCCAGGCAGCACGGGACCCGGGGTTTCCACGTGACTGGAGCTGGCTTTGCCCTGAAGGACGGCACCTCCGACTTCTTCCTGGATGGCGCCCTGACGCGCTGCAGCTGCTCCATCCACGCTGCCCGGCATCTGCCCTGCCGCCACCTCTTCGCGGCGCGCCTCCTCACAGGGGCAGCCTTATTCCACGTGGACCTGCTCAGGGACTGCTGGGGGAGAGCCCCAGAGTCCTGACCCTCAGCCCCTGCCCGCCACCCTCCCTGTGAGGGCCGGAGGGCATTCTTTTATCCCAAAGATAACAAGGCTGAGGCCACCCCAGCCCCTCTGGCCACCTCCTGGGTCGGAGGGGACGTAGTCGGTGCTCTCCAAGGTCCTGGAGCCACAGGTGAGGAAGGTGGTGGCCAGGGTGGATTCTGAGGGAATACAGGCATAGACAGGGTCAGGCCCGGGCAGAAGGAAGAAAGGACAACCGAGGGAGGGGAGGACGCCAGGCTCTGGGGACAACCTGGCAGGAGTAGACTGGTCAAGTCCACGGAGCGCAGCGGGAGGCGGCCAAAGCAAAGAAGGAAGAGGACAGATGGAGGAGAGGTAAGGGAAGAAAAGACAACAAGGAGATAGAAATGGGGGCGAGAGTGCAAGAAAGGAGGCGGAAATGGAGAAGAAATAGGAAGGAGCAGAGGGAGGCAGGAGGAGGGGCCAGGAAGGGAAGGAGACAAGGTGGAGGAGAGGGAAGAACACAGGGAGACCCAACAAAGGAAAAGTGTGGGAGAGAAGACAAGAGTGGGGTGATTTGAGTTCTTTCCCCAAGGACTGGAGGCTTGGATCCCTTCACCTTCTGATTGGTCATTCCCAGAAGCCGGAGCGAGAGGGAGCACAGAGAGGACCTGGGGGATGGCCTGGGGGCCTCCAGTGGGGGAGGGGAGCAATCGGGGCGATTGTGCTTCAAGATTGGAATAAAACAGCATTATTTTGGTTTCCACGCTGAGTTCTTGACTTCTGGGGGAGGGTCGGAGGCCCGGGCCGGAGGGAAATTGAGATGGTCCAGCATTCCTTCATTCTTCCAATGGGCCTGTGGGGGACAGGTGGAGCGAAGGGGCCAAAATGAATCCCTCTCCCGTCAGCTTAGGCTTCCTGTACCTCTACCTGCTCCACATGCTCAGCTCAATCCCTCCAGGCCTCTCCTCAATGTCACCTCCTAAGGTCACCTCCATCCCTGAACAGTTCATCTAAGGAGTGAGTCACCCCAAAAAATAAGTAAATAAAATAAATTAAAAAAATAAAGCCACTCCATTCTTTCTCAACATTATGTGTGTGTGTGTGTGTGTGTGTGTGTATATATATATATATATATATATATATATATATATATATACATATATATATACACTAGAGGCCTGGTGCACAAAAATTTGTGCACTTGGGGGGGGGTGCCTCAGCCTGGCCTGTGCCCTCTGGCAGTCTCCCCGGATCACAGATCAGAGGCCCAGATCCCACAGGCAGTGTCTGGCGCTGCCTACCCCGCCTCCCCTGTCCCAATCTGGGGCTCAGACCCCGTGGACGGCGTCTCTCACTGTCCGCCCCACCTGCGGTATGCAAATTTAACTGCCATCTTTGTTAGGTTAATTTGCATACTCTTCTGATTGGCTGATGGGCATAGCAAAGGTATGGTCAATTAGCATCTTTGTCTTTTATTAGTGTAGATGTGTGTGTGTGTGTTTGTGTGTGTGTGTGTGTGTGTACACATACATACACACATACATACTAGAGGCCCAATGCATGAAATTTGTGCAAGAGTAGGCCTTCCTCCGGCTGCTGGTACCTGGAACCCGGGCTTCCCTTGCAGCCTTAGCTTCTTCCAGGAGGACGTCCTATCTAATCAGCATATTACGCTTCTATTATTATAGATATGTTTTTATTGATTTCAGAGAGGGAGAGAGAGAGAAACATCAGTGATGAGAGAGAATTATTGATTGGCTGCCTCCTGCATGCTCACCACTGGGGATCTAGCCCACAGCCCAGGCATGTGCTCTGACTGGGAATAGAACTGTGAGCTTCTGGTTCATGGATCAACACTCAACCACTGAGCCACACGGGCCAGTCTCAACATTATTCTTTACAACCTTAGCACTTCCTGAGATTATACCATGTCGCCATTGACCAGTTTAGCAGTGCTTAAGCATGCAGAGGCTAAAGTCAAACTATCTCAGTCAAATCCCAGCTCTGGTACTTACTTGCTATGTGACATGTGGTTGCTTATTCTGTCTTCGTTACAGTTTGGGGATAATAATAGTACGCATCTGAGGATAGATGAATGAGTGTGTGTACCAGTGTTCTAACCTTCCGCTTCCCAAATAGGCTCTCAATTACCTATTAACATACCCTGTTTTCCAATGATCTGTGTTCCCCATTTTTAATAGTCAATCTGCCTCCACCAAAATATAAGCTCTATTTTGTTTTCCAGCATCTCCCCAGTAAGCACTGGGTTAGAAAGATGAAAGAATATAACTGGCAGGCTGGCTAGTAGAGCTAGCGCTTCATCGTGCTTCATATTGCTATGGTGACAACGGAGCCTGCCAGGAGATTCCCTTTCAATAAGCCCAGCCGGTTCTCCCATTGGCGACCTGTACCTGAAAACTACAACTCCCAGCAGGCTAAGCGCCGCCAGCACCTTCCAAGCTGTGCGCCTGCGCAGTACAATCAGCTGTCCCCTTGCTCTTGAGTACTTGTGGGGGCGCTAAGGATGGGGACAGGGACAGAGGAACGTGAATCCTTTGCTCGCCGAGCATTGCAGGGCCCCTCGTCTCAACCGGTGGGTGGGGTCTGGTTCAAGGGCCGCATGAGGGAGCACAGAGGACCGCTTCGGTCTCCATGGTGACGGGCCGGGCTCGGAACCAAAGAGGATTAATGCAGAAGGATGGAGGGGAAGCCAAAGATGGACGTTGCCATGGTAACCTTAGAGCCAAAGGAGGGGGGGTGGAAGCAAAGGAATTAGTCAGCGGTTCTCAACCTGTGGGTCGCGACCCCTTTGGGGGTCGAATGACCCTTTCACAGGGGTCACCTAAGACCATCGGAAAACACATATATAATTACATATTGTTTTTGTGATTGATCACTATGCTTTAATTATGTTCAATTTGTAACAATGAAAATACATCCTGCATATCAGATATTTACATTATGATTCATAACGGTAGCAAAATTACTGTTATGAAGTAGCAACGAGAATAATTTTATGGTTGGGTCACAACATGAGGAACTGTATTAAAGGGTCGAGGCATCAGGAAGGTTGAGAACCACTGGGATTAGTGATAACAGGAGAGGCTTCAGAGTAACGGGAAAATAAGCGCCTTAGAGAGTGTGATGGAGGCATCGGCTGGAGATAAGGGGAGACGGGTGGTTTTAGGGGAACTGGGGTTTTGAAGGAGGGGGAGTGTTTTAGTGAATTAGTATGTGATAAGGGGCTTTAGGTGGTCATTGGAAAAATCAGCATGCTAATAGATACGGATGATTTGGGGGCAATGGAAATGCAGTGGGGAAAATAGACTGTTAAACTCGCTCGTCTTCAGAAATGATCTGTAGAGCTCCTATTACGGGCCAGGCACAGCTAGACTCCGGAAATGCAGGGGTGAGCAGGCGGGTGTGACTATAGAGGAGTTAGAGAAGTTAGGAGGAGCTTCTAGGAAAAGCAGGGTGTTCTAGGAAGAGGAACTAGAGTGACATGGAGACGGGGGTTTTACAAGGAATTGGTGGATTATGTAAATGAATTCTGGTACTATTTTATTATTTTTTTAAAGTATATTTTATCGATGAGAGCAAAAATCGATCAGCCACCTCCTGCACACCCCCCACTGGGGATGTGCCCGCAACCAAGTCACATGCCCTTGACTGGAACCGAACCCGGGACCCCTCAGTCCGCAGGCCGACGCTCTATCCACTGAGCCAAACCGGCTAGGGCTATTATTTTTTTTTTAATATATTTTATTGATTTTTTACAGAGAGGAAGGGAGAGAGATAGAAAGTTAGAAACATCGATGAGAGAGAAACATCGATCAGCTGCCTCCTGCACATCTCCCACTGGGGATGTGCCCACAACCCAGGTACATGCCCTTGACCGAAATCGAACCCGAGACCCCTCAGTCTGCAGGCCGACGCTCTATCCACTGAGCCAAACTGGTTTCGGCTGGCTATTATTTTTTTAAAAAAACTTTTTTAATCCTCACCCAAGAATATTTTTCCATCTTTTTTTTTTAGAGAGAGAGGAAGGGAGGGGAACAGGAAAGAGAGAGAGAGAGAGAGAGAGAGAGAGAGAGAGAGAGAAACATCGATTTTTTTGAGAGACATTGATCCGTTGCCTCCTGCACGTTCCTGACCTGGGTCCGGAGATAAAGCCTGCAACAGAGATACCTGCCCTTGACCAAAATTGAGCCCAGGACCCATCAGTCCGAGGGCTGGTGCTCTATCCACTGGGCCACACCAGCTAGGGCTCTGGTACTATTTTAGAAGATCAACTGAACACCACCTGGCAAGCCCTGGGGTTACCTGAGTGAGCAAAGTCACCCTTGTGGATAGAATTGCCAGATGTAGCCGGAAAGCAACCGGTTAAATTTGCATTTCACAGCACACAGTATTTTAGTTATTTGTTGTTTATCTGAAATTCAAATGCAGTCAGGCATCCTGTGTTTTTACCTGGGAACAATAATTTGGAGGAATTGGGGTGTTTGGGGAGAGTGAGTTATTATAGGGGACATGGGGCATTAGAGGGTAACTGGGTGGTAGGAAGAGGGGCTGGGATACTGAAGAAAAAGAGGAGTGTTGAAGCCATCACTAGCATCAGCGCTCACTGCGTTCCCAGGGCTATGCTACGTGTTTTTGTTTTGAAAAACTTTATTCTGAAAATTGTCAACCTTATACAATCGTAGAACAGCCCTATCTGGTTTGGCTCAATGGGTAGAGCGCAGGCCTGCAGACTGAAGGGTCCCAGGTTCGATTCCAGTCAAGGGCACGTGCCCGGATCGCGGGCTCCATCCCCAGTGTGTGGCGTGCAGGAGGCAGCCGATCAATGATTCTCTCTCATCATTGATGTTTCAATCTCTCTCTCCTTCTCCCTTCCTCTCTGAAATCAATAAAGATATTTTTTTAAAAATAGTAGAACAGATGATACAATGAGCTACTTTACCATCTGTGCTTTATGTGAGCACCATATTTTTTAAATATATTTTTATTGATTTCAGAGAGGAAAAAGAACCTCGCGCCAGGATTTTATTTTTTATTTTTTTATTTTTCGGGCCAGGATTTAAAAAAAAAAATGTTACCTCCCAGGAGAGGATTCATTGCCTCGGACAGCCCTAGCTAAAGTAACCACCTCCCCCTTCCCACCCCAGTAGCCATCCCATCCCTTTGTACTATTTCTTTTAGAAATGTCTCCCGATCTATAATTAATCTTGTTCATTGATCGTGTGCCTTTTCATTGCCCATCTTCTCCACTAGGGGGAGGCCTTGTTCCATTCACCATGGAAATTGCAGTGCCCAGAACTGTGCCTGGCACAGAGGAAACAAACCCTCCATGAATGATGTTGATTAAATGAATGGAGGCTATTCCCTCCATGAATGATGTTGATTAAATGAATGGAGGCTGTTCAGAATAAAAGAGCAGCGATATTTTAGGGGGTTAAGAGAAGGAGACATATGGGAGGTGAAGGGACATAGGAGAGGATTCGATAACCAGGAATTCGGGGTGATAAAGGAGGAATTAGGGCACAAGGAGGCAAGGAGGACATTAGCAAATGGATGGGGAGGTGGTTGGGAAAGACTTGGGATGTTCTATAGAATTCATTGTTATCTGTAGGATTATTAAAGTGCCAGTGCCTCAGTCTCCTCATCTGTAAAATGGGAACAATAATATTCGTCTCACAAGTCTGAGGATCATCTGAGGTATCACATGGAATCTGTCATCATCAAAATAATTACTAAAGCC